CTAAGTATCAGAGTTAGAAAATAGATCTACTTAAAACTTCCCAACCAGCAGGAAGATATGATTGAGCTAGGAAATCATATAGTCAATTTATTACTTAGAATATTTATTGAGAATAGATGAAAAAAGATTGCTATTTCATGGTTAAGGATCTTAAGAAAAGCTCTATGAAAGTTAGAAGCATGAAAATTAACTGTTACAATAGTATCAAACCTCAACTATCACACGAATACTACCCCAAATATATCTATCTTAATCGAAACGAATATATATATAGTAAATTATATATAAATATTAATATAGAGCATTAGAGACTAACGATTATAGAAACCTTTGACACTGGTTTTGAGACAATATGGAAAGATTTGATAAGCAGAACAGATAGAAAAATGATGAATAGTCAATAAGTGTTGCTGTCATGTTAGGGTACTTACCTACCAAGAAGAATTTTATTTTACTTTGAAGTATATGCAACTTCAAAGGATTTGGAATTGAGGAAATGGACGTAAAGCATTTGTTTATTTCCAAAAACCTGCAGATATGGGGCATGCTACTGGAATAAAGGATCGTGGATATTATTGTCATAACAGAATTGGTGTTAAAAGAAATGAAGATGTTGCATTTGTTTATTATCAAAAAATCGGTTGAAACGAGAAATGCAAAAGGAATATATAATATCAGTTATTGTTATCAATTTGGGAGTAGAACTGAAAAGATAAACGTAAAGCATTTCTACATTATAAACAATTTGCTGAAATGGCGGATGTCACCGGAACATCGCACCTTGGTGATTGTAATCGAAATGAGATTGGGACAGCCATAGACATTCAAAAGCAGGTTATTTATATGTTCCAATTTTTGGAATTGTACTAAATAGATATAAATTTGACCTTTTTTTTAATAGCTAATAACTTTTGATCTACTGTTCTGTTTTTAATGAAACAACTACCAAAATGTTTGTCTCAATAAGACAATTCCAACAAGACTAAAATCATTAAAATCTAATTACTAGATCACGAGATCAATAAAGTTTTTTGCAGGGTTGACACATCTGTAGAGTAGGGAAATTGGTTAAACCAATTTCCCCACATCAACTCTGCAAAAAACTTTATCAATCTCGTGATCTATTAATTGGATTTTGATGATTTTGGGCTTGTTGGAATCATCTCATTGAGACGAACATTTTGGTAGTTGTTTTATTAAAAACAAACTAGTGGATCAAAGTTATTGGCCATTAAAAAATAGGTCAAATTTATATCTGTTTAATACAATTCCAAAAATTAGAGCATATGTAGTATCAAATGAAAAATGATATAACACAAGTTACAAATGATTGGGTGCATGCAACCACACTATTGATAATAATATGAAAAGGGTGTTGATCGAAAATGAATATCAATTATCATAGATATCTTATGATGAATTTAAAAATATCGAAGAGATAGAAAAGGATGAATTTGCAACAGTATATTCTGCTACTTGGTTTGATCGAAAATGAGAAATGAATGTAACTGTTGCACTGAAATTATTTCATGAATCAAGAAATAGCTTTGAAGAACTCATAAGGGAATAATCGCACATTTAGAGATTGGATCTAAAAAACCTACATTTTACAATATTATAGAATATCAAAAGATGAAGGCATATATCAATCGTATTTGAACTTTAATTTCGTATCTCAAATATAAAATCAATCTTTATTAACAAACTGTTTTAAACCCAAAAAATCTCATTACTTTATCACATTAAAAAAATAAAATAATTTGCTTTGCCTAATTAGCTAATCAGAATTTTGTTACATCATAAGATGTTTTGTCGATTGGTGGATTCACCAATAAAAGCCAATTTCTATCATGCTGTTGTTTATTCAAGAAGACATTTCTCCTAACTTTTACTGAAGCTAAACAAGTTTAAGTAGGTTTCTACCAAGGAAAGATGCATTAACGGTATCCTATGTCCATATGGTTCAGCCCTTTGGCCGATGTTTGGATTAGAGTGCTGTGAGTAAATTGTTATGACTTGTTACGTGTTTGTAATGGCTCTTAGTGCCTCAGCCTGGGCCTCTATTCCAGAATATATATTGTCATTAGAACTTCTGTTTTATTGTAAAAGTTCAAAAGATTATTCTATTAAAATTATATTGTTTACTATCACTACAGTGCCATGGAGTTTGATCATTATGTGAATACCTATATGTACAATTCCAATCCTAAGGACTTGAGTATTTTAAACTTCCTTAATTATCTGAAAGATAAATTGGTATTCACATCAGATAGCAAACAAGAAATCCAGGATGCACTTAAAAGAACGCTCGAGAGTGCTATTGATTCATCTATTATACAATCTGGAATAAAGAAACAGTTTAAAAAATTGTTAGATAATATCAGTGATACTTTTGAAAGAAAGGAAATTATTGAGTTTTTCGCGGAATTGGACAAGGAGTTTGAGGCAGTAAGTATTTGTGGTTTTGCATAATATGGCCCTGTATATATATTTGAAAATATTAATTTATCGTTGTAGAGGCGAAATCAACGAAATCTCAAGATGTCTTTTAATAAGTATAGTTCTGAACTACTACAAAAGTCTGGTAATTTACATACATTAAGATTAGCCTCTTATTATATGACAACGTCTGCTGAATTTGATAAAAATGTAAGATTAATATTTTTATTCTGTTTGTTCCAAGTTTAATTGCTAACTTTAAATCCATATTTCTTTGTTATATCACCTAGGGAGAATCATCTTCTTATCATGTTTCAAGAAAAAGACGAGAAGTTGATTTTGATGAGGAGCAAACAATAAAGAAGCAATATCAAGATAGATATACTACGCCACCTCCACTTAATAAAAATGAGCAAGATGCAGATTTTGTTTTTGAACCTGATAAGCTTAATCTGTATTACCAGGAGCTGTCATTAGTTAAGGCCTGAAATCTCTATCTTTTAATATTTTATTATTGTCTGCTATTTAATAAGCCTTTATCTCGTAATAGACTTCATTAAATTCAGCTGTCGAAAGGCCTGTTAATAGTGAAGATTCGATAAATGTTGAAGTCCCAATCTCCAAGCGACCACAAGAGGCAGTTGCTTCTAAGAGTGTAAATACATAAATAACAATCTGCAAATGATAATTAGTATATATGAATTACTTTCAAATCTTTTCTTAACTTTTGGATATATATACAGATTAAAAATGAGTTGGTTGAGGAACATATCTCTCAGGAAGATTTGTTAAACTCAATGAACGAAACATCAAATACATTCAAACAAATCGAGTTCTTAACATATTATAATAAACTAAAAACCATATGGGATGCTTGTATTACTGAAATGAATTATTTTGTGTTAGATTTAAGAGACAAAGAAATTTTAAATCAAGTGCACAATCTTTTAGATGATTGTGAACTAG